ACCAGGCCTTCCTGTCCTCCACCATCCCCCAGAGTCCACTCAAGCTCACACCAACTGCTTCAGTGACTCCATCTAGCCACCTCATTCTCTGCAGTCCCCATCTTCTTTTGCCATCTATTGTTCCCAGCATTAGGGTCTTCTCCAGGGAGTCCTTCCTTCTCATTAGGTGGCCAAAGTATTTGAGTTTCATCTTCACTATCTGGCCTTCTAAAGAGCAGTCAGGGTTGATCTCCTCTAGGACAGGTGACAGTACTTTGCAACATATTCTGACAGTGGGTCCTAGATCAAGTCAAGTAAAACTTTTCCTGGAAGCAAAAGTTATAAAACTGAAGCTGTTGTGCTTTGGCCACATCATGAAAAGGCAAGGCTCACTCATGGCAGTCATTCATAGGGTCACCATAACTTGGATGCAATAACAAAGAGCAATCATACTTCTTAGCCCTCAAATTACACATAAGTTTGGCTTTCTCCTGCAGACTATTGTTGTTGCTTCTGCAGACATCAAACAAAGAACTCATTTTACAGCATCCCGTTTTGCTCTGTATCAGTGCATGGAAAAGGGAATGATAGAATTTACTGAGACCACAGACAGTTCACTGACTGAGTCCTTATATTAATGTACTCTATCTTGATTTAGGCATTTGATTTTGCTTTTTAAAAAAATGTGTAACCTTCTGTTGATAATGGTAATAGAAGTTGATAATATTCTGGGTAATAGAAGAATTTGGTCAATACTGAACTTCTGTAGAGAAAGACCCATGCTACTGGGAAATACTGTAGAAATCACAGGTGTTGAGTCACCACCAGGTCACCAGAGATGCAACTTCTGTTTGCATGTGATGACTTAGGAATCAGTCAATTGCAGACATGTAGAACATAAGAGAGAAAGTGTTGAGCTGGTACCATTAATTTCCTATTCACAAATTTTAATTAGACTTGGCTTGTGGGGAAAGGATTTCTTTGTTGCCCATTGAAACACATCTCTTTGCTTGTACAACACAAGCAGTGATCTTTAGCAAATATGTCTGGGTTTGCACATAATGCTAACCCATGGCACAGATTGTTGAATTGTGGTCTGTTGCACTGTGCAGAACACACCACAACTATGAACAACCCAAAAAGAGAGAAGTCGGGTTGTGAACTCTTAACTGCTTAAACCATGGACTGTTGTTAAGCCCAAACCAAGAACTGTGGATTGTATCTTTTAGGCTACAGAGGTGGGGGACAAGTGTAATAAGAAGCAAAAGCCATTCTGCATACTAGTGTTATAGCTTTGCAAAGATATTTAAGTTACAATGTGGGAGTAGAAAAAGGAGAAGGGAAATGAACAATCCAGATACTGTCTGTCTGCCAAATAAACTCTGCGTAGGGCAACAAAGCATGGGTTGCCCAACTGTGAGTTAAATAAACCAAGAATTAGTCTAATGTGTTAATGAAGCCTGGGTAATTCCAATCTTGTCCATGGTGTGGGCTTGTTCCAATAACAGTTCATTCTTCTTGGGTGGAATCTCTTTTATACAGTGTTCTCCAAAAGCTTGTTTTTTTCTTGCTCTGTTATTTTTTACGATGTGTAATGTAACCAGGGCTCCCCCACGATCTCCTACGTTAGACTGGGTGGCTTGTTTGCCCACTGGCCATGCAGCAGGAATTGAGAGTTTTGTGTGCCCCCCACCCCGCTTTTCCTCAGTGTTCTTCCACTCTAGGAAAAACACTATAGTGAGGTATGAGTAAAGAGTAATGAGTACAGAGAGAAAACTAGTACTCTAAGCAATATTTATTAAAGGTTCTACCCAGTGGTGTTCCTGTATTCCCTGTGCTGATGAAAGATCCAGTGAAAACTTCCATCAGTTCTTCACATGGGCCTCCTCTCTTCTGTAGGGCCTCCCCTTTCATGTTCTTCAGAATGATTTTCTTGCATAATAAAGGGAACTACAGGAATTGATGAAAATTTCTTCCATATCCTGCTGACAGAAGCCACTACTTGATCAAAGAGCTTTCTGGAACTGATTAGATACTACCCATAGTTTGAGATATTTCTGAGATTGAACTTGTTCAGGCACCTCACTGTTTCGGAAGTATCTGCCAGGTTAAACAACACAATTTCTGCTGTAGTTAACTGTTCGATTGATCACATTAACTGAGAGAATCTTTTGGGTGTGGAGTCTGTGGAAGCATACATTTAAATGTACATGGGACAGTGTCCTGACCCCAGCTTTGATTCTGTTTCCCAATTCTGTATGTGTATTCACTTATCCTGGATATACAAGAAACAGGGCTTTTGGTCTTGACTTGCTGTGCTGTTAAGAAGACTTGTCAACAAAGCTTTCTTTGAGAATAAACTTTGACCAGGTTGGCCTATTTGAATCTAATCTGTTGTC